GAGGCGAACCTGAGCCATCATCCAAACGGTAAACAGGAACATGTCGTGTGCGTCCTCTGTTTGATAAGGCGGCTCCTCTAGAATGGTCAATATATGCAACAATACAACGGGGTTGTTCCGCAAAATTATTGATAATACAACAAACACTGCAAGCTACAAGTAGAAGACAATACAAGTTAGTAAAATAAATTAGATATACATACACTTTTGAATTGGAGAAAGGTTTTTGAGAAATTACTTGAGTTTTGGTGGGAGAAGTATACATTCCTAACAAACGAGCGTGAGTATAACCAAACGACCACACTACAAAGCTACATACTATCTTATGTTCAACACCTTTGTCGAGCCACCTGCCTGCTGTTTTGTAGACAGCTTGAGGAATATAAGTAAACGGAACCTGATGTTTATATAAAAGAGAAGATAATCGATCAGCTTCACAATGATTCCAAAATTGTTACGTAAGAGAAAGAAAGAAAAAAAGTAGCTTAGGTTTACATCGATCATATCGGTCAGGTTGTTCATGTTGGGCCATGGATATTCAAATTGCTCAGATGATACTTCGGAGAGTGCTTCCACAAAGTAATCGACTAAATTCAGGACTCCAATGCCCGGATACCAATTCTATTAACAAACAAACAAAGGATAGTAATTGTAATTAGATGAGAATTCGAGGTACAAATTAGATGTTTAAACAAAGAGATGAATTCAAGTACTTACCGGTGAATCGGAGAGGTAAGCCGCAAGATGTGAAGCATCGATCTTTGCGGCAGCTTCGGCCAAAGACACTTGTTTCGGCTTTTCACTTTCAGAATCGATCTTTGCCGCAGCGTCGGCCAAAGACGACACTTGTTTCGGCTTTTCACTTCCAGAATCGATCTCTGCGGCAGCTTCAGCCAAAGACGCTTCTTTGGCCATCTTCTCCTCTTTTTTTTGTTTCATCTTTTTGATTTCTTCCTCCGCCTTCGGATTCTTATACTTCTGTTTGATTTCTTCCTCTGCCTTCGGATTCTTCTTATACTTTTGTTTGATTTCTTCCTCCGCCTTCGGATTCTTATACTTCTGTTTGATTCCTTCCTCCGCCTTCGGATTCTTCTTATACTTTTGTTTGATTTCTTCCTCCGCCTTCGGATTCCTATACTTCTGTTTGATTCCTTCCTCCGGCTGCGGATTCCTATACCTCTGTTTAATTCCTTCCTCCGGCTGCGGATTCCTATACCTCTGTTTGGTTTCTTCAATATACCCATACCGTTTAATTTCATTATACCTCGTCAGATGATGTTGCATCCGCCTTTGGTTCCGCCTTTGGTTCCGGTTCACGACTTCCGTCCATTCATGGTCAGAGGTCTGAGAGCCATCGTACCCCGCAGATTCGATCGGATCCATAGGCACTTCTGAAGTTTCTGATAAGACTAGGGCAGTATCAAGAAAGAAGAGATTTAGATCGAAGAGGAAGAAGAGAATAGCTTATATCGATGAAAGGTAGAAAAGGGATATATAATAAAGGAAAGAAAAATTAGGGTTTTTCTTCTTCTTTTTTTTTTGACCAAAATAAATTGAGGAAAATTTGGGTTTTCATCTCTTGACACCTTGATGACCGTCCGATTCTACTATAAATTAGCAATTGTTTTGATATTTTCTTAATTTATATAAAATTATTAATCTATCGCAAACTAAAACTTCCAATTATCTTCTAAAT